CATGTTTGAAACACAATTGATGTCAACTGATTGAAATGTAATCAGTACAATTAAGTTTTGGGGAATATTCAGTACGACCTGTTCGACACTGTCTATTTTCATGTGATTCCATTTAGAAACATTGCAAGTGCTGGTTTTTGGGAATATACACAATGAACGCTTCAGAACACGACGACCAAATTGGTTATTTTATTTCAATCGAAGTCCAAAAACACAAAATAATACAAAAAAATACAAAATAAGACCAATGCTATTAGACACGAAACGTTGTTTTATTCCCCCTTTTTCTGCTGGGGGCAACAAAGAAATATTTTCCACAGGGTGGCATTACTTCCAGATCCAGTACCTAGTACAAAATCCAATTCAGTAGCTATGTGTGGAGCTAGCATACAGCTGTCAAAAGCTCAACGCGTAGATTGTGACTTACTCAGAAATGATTAAATTTGGCGAGACAATAAACTATATAAGTATGCAATTTTTCTGAATGTGTACAACGAGTAAAAAATCCAAATATACCAGAAATAAACAAATTTTAGTCGGCAAATATTTGACTTTTAGAAGAAAAATTACTAAAAAAAAATTCTATCGAATAAACAACATTCAAATACAAAGCCACTTCAATGCGTTACATAGTGCGCCCACAATCCACAGAAGAATTGGTTTATTTCCAAACTCATAGAAGTTCACTGAATGAAGTATATAAAAAATAAATGGCCAATTCAACCCCATGAAATATTATCCAGCTGTAAAATGCTACCGCTCTGCCGTAGCCATTATGATAAGATACATATAGCCGATATTTTTTTTCGGTTTGCACATGAAGGCATAAACTTCAGTCACTGTAGGCCCTTTGGCTATTAATTTCAATTTCACAAAAAGCTACTGAGGGGAGCAATAACATTTAAGGTTCGCAGAACTTTTTCAATTTCTTGTCTCTTTCATTTTTTTTTTTAATATTTTGAATCGCGATGCGGCTTTGGAATAAACCAAAATTGACGCTATGAAGTCAACCAATATTAACAATCTTAAATTAAACTTTTCTAGTCGTAGATTGCATAAAAAATTTGCGAAATTTGCCCATTTCATCGGAGTACCCTCCGATGAAATGTAGCATCAAAACAAAATGGAGAATGAGCTATTAATTTTCCTCTTTGATGATTAGAGTCATTGTGCTCCGAATAGTGAAGCTTCATTTTTGCCGCACACCTACAGCACTGCCACTAGTATCTCCGTGTACTGTGGCATATTGGTTGTCATGCTTCTTTGGTTCGACAAGAGAATTTTAAACTCGACAGAAATGCTGTGCATAGAAAAGGGAACGGATCTAGATCAAGATGCTGCAACATAAAGCAGAAGTGAATGAGATTGAAAAAACGTAACAAATAAACAACTCAAGTATTTGACATTTCATTTGAATAATGAGTTTTAGTTTATATTTATTTATATTATTCAGCGAAAATGGCGCTTTTTACATCAGTTTTCAAATAAATACTATCACAAAGAGAGGATAAATCTTATCTGTGAAAGAGATAAAATGGCACAATCTGTAGCAGATGGAGAGTGAAAAAGAAGGGCAGGCGCAAAAGTCAAAATTGGTAATTGAATTTTCTGCCATTTTTACTTCGTCTACGTTGACTATTCATATTGCTTGAAAACGGTAAAACTCAGAGTACTCAAGCACCGAATTCACACAGCTACAGAAGTTATGCTCGTGTTCGACATACAAGCATACACATAGACTTAGTATGGATGAATATGAATTGAAAATGAATTTATTCTTGTGAATAGGTGTCATGAAGAAGAACACACCAACCTTAATATTTAGGCAGGGGTTTGATGTTTGCGCCTTCATAAAACGGGTGTATACTGTATACAGGCACACAGAAATTAACAAACATCTAGCCTTTCATATTCTCTTATTTTTTTTTTCTTTCTTTACAACAATGGACAACACTGTTTACTTACTTATCTGGAATTCGTTGAGCATATATTTAAACTTTTTTCTACCAGATGAATCTGTAGCACAGCATATCGTCACACCGCTCATAGAGTCTTTTCATTTTAACCAATGTTTTATGAGAAAATACAGCAGAATTTCCAAATAACAAACAAACGAAAGAAAAATCAAGTATGCACAAAATGTGAGGGAAAAGAAACTTGTACCATACATTGTGTATACTGCGTACATGCTCACGTATTTATTTTATTTATGGGCTTTGTCTTCCGTTTCCTTTCTCTGCGCAAAATAAACGTCTAGCCTTATATTTTTTTTTGCTATTTTGATAAAATATTAATTCTATCTTTGTTTTTCCATTCCGTTCTGTTGCTGTTTTGAAACATTACAACTTGCACAATTCTTCCTTAAATGCACAAAACTAGGGTAGACCATCCGTGCACAGTTTTCGTGCACATAAGAGAATCCTAGAATCTTTCGAGAAAAAAAAACAAAAGCATGATTCTCAGCGTCTACTGCAAGCCACTTTTTATTCATATGAGCGCTCCTCAAAATCGAGCTGGCACATTTAGGTTATGTTACCTAAGATTTAAAGAAATGTCGGCTCAATTTCAACTCTTTGACTATAAGTAAAATGTTACTATATACTGTTACAAGCCAGCACATCTTTAGGGAAGCTGTTGTATAAAGAGGAGCTCACCCCAAGAGGCGCTGAGAACTATTAACTACTTTCACCTTGATTTCAACTGTGTAGGATGCACGCAAAACCATGGTTTTTATTTTTGACACGATGGCACATATCAAATTTGAATTTAAATGACAAATCGTGTGGAGACAACAAAAGAGATCAAAATAGATCGAAATTTGACGTATGCATTTGCACAAGAATTCATACATAGGATAGTGAAAAACGAAATAGTACTAAACAATGATCATCTTTACACGATTTGTCATTGAGGTGTACAATGTACAGCCGTCCACTGTACACGTTATCTTCTTTTCAATCACAAGATTAGAATCATTCATTTTTTTCTGCACTTAATTTTAAGTTTTGATAAGTCTGTATCGAATTAGTTTGTACTAGATTTTGTTTCGAAACATCACATCGTCTCATTTGAAGATGAATAAAATGCAAGGGTGTTGTACCTCCGTCGAAAGTTCTTCGCCTGTAAACAACAGGCACCATGGACACTGAACGAAAGTTTTATGCTCACTTCTGCATATCGAATACAAACCACGTTTCACTATGTTATAAGTAAGCTGTTGTTCTCATTTATTTAATGAGAACGCTTGCAAATGCTATCACAATACTTATGTTTTTCGAACGTGCACGACCATCTTAATTCAACGATTGCGTGATTCTTTTAAACGTAAAAGAACGTTTGTTGTTTTTTTCTTCTACTTTTCATTTTTTTTTCTCTCGCCTCCGGCACCTCAACGGAGTTTATGCTAACTCATTTATCTTCCGATGTTGTCATACTTTCTACGCGCTATTTTAGATGGCACGCACCGAATTGCTCCAACGGAAACGTATTCAAATTACAAACGACTTAAGAATATGCTACAGAATCAGAGCAAATATTCAAAATGAGAAAAATGACAAAGCGAGCGGTTTATCAACATAGTAACCAGACACGCACTCAATCGATTTGTTTTCACGACGCATACAGTCAAGAGAGATAGAGCTAGCATACACTGATTCTAGCAGATAACAAAATATTTTCGCGAATCGATTGAAATGCTGATGTGCTGTGCTTTTGATTTTTCGACGAGACATTTTCTTTGGAATATTTCAGTGACATTTAGCAATTCCTCGGTTGTGAACATGATTTAAAAATGTTCATGTATTCTTAGCAGATGGATGTAAAGCATCGTTTGTTTTATTTTATTTTCAAGCAAGCTGAGCTTGAAAATACTCACTCAATACCAATCTCATATATTGGAAGTTGGAATTTTTTTACTTTGAACTCACCTGATTTGGGAGAAATGAATACTCAACACAGATTTTTGCACTATACGAAGACAGGCTAAGCAAGACTGAAATCGATTTACCATTCGAATGTCATTTTTTTAGCCTGCCTGGTTGATAAGTACAGTACAGAAGTATGCATTGAGCATAGAAGATATATAACTCAAATGTGAACTAGTGCGACGAAAATATCCTGTGAGAACGTTAGAGAAAATCATAGATTCTCAAGCTGGAAAACGTATCATGAACGTATATCATTGGAACAAATGTAACAAAGGAACAACATTTCAAGAAATGAAACATTGAAGAGAATATGAACAACGCATTAGGAATTAGCACCACGCTGAAGTGTATCACAAAAACTGTAGCAACCAAAAGTCACGTTGAACGCAGGTTCATGGTGCATTTTTGTGGAAACACTTATTCGTTTGGGAACACATTTGCAATCCCACTGAGTGAGTGATTGAACTAAATCTGAATTCTGTTAGTGGTGATTTGAATATTTTCACGTTCAGTTTGCCTAATTTTCAGATTGTTGTCGAGATAATTTGGTTTGGACATGGAATATTCCATAGCCATGGAAAGAATAGACTTCATAAGATTTAAATTCGATTATTATTATTATTTGCATTTCTAAACAACGTACGATGTAAAATATGAGCATTATTAACACTGAACTTGATTTTCTATCAGACTTGCGACTAAATTAAGAATTGAAATGCTGATAAAACAATATCAGTAGGTTCATGTTTGTCAAACAGATTAACTTTGCCGCCGAATGAATCAGCGATTCTCAATTTCATTTAGAAAGTGTCAAGTCCGAAAATGTGGTTCCATCCGAATGAAGATGCTGTTGCTTATCGTTGACATGATTTGCCCTGCTGACATTCACTTTTTCAAATGGTTGAATACAAAAACCTCGAAGTAAGCCTGTGTTTTTACATAAAAGATGATTTATGATGGTGATAAATTTATTGGACGTCAATATGATCTTGTTTTCGTTTCAGCCAAAGATTAAGATGCATATGACTAATCTATTCTAAACCTTATTATAAACTGTAAAAAGATAATCACGGAGAGATGCGAGTAAACATGTCTTTGATGTGACAACCGAATTCTCTTCGTCCTAATGAGATTTATTTTCGGTGAATGTAAATCGATTTGTTGATGTGTGAGTGTATTTATGAAAAATTCAATATTAAAAGTCTGAACAAGGTATGGGATGGACAGTTAGTAGCATTTGAAACGTTGAGTAAAAAGGAAGTGATAGTACAACAAAAGAATTTAAAACGAATAAACGGATATTTTGAAGTGAATTTGTTGCTGCTGAAACAACATTATGGCAGGCTACGCTTTTCTAAGGTAAAAACGACTAGATTTTGTTTCAAAATAAATTGTTGAAATTATATAATAAAATTTGAATCTTTATTAAATATAACTATGTTGAAAAGTATAAAAGAGTGAGTAGCATGTTGATTTGACGAAATTTTGAGAAATTGAAATGATTACTTGTCCCATTTGAAAAAAAGTTCCGAATATTTCTACTAGAAGTGCAATGAACTAAAGCTAAAATGTTCCATTTTTTCGTTTTGAATTTAAAGTTGTTTGTTGTTACAGTTAGGAAGACCAATAGTGATTAGGGGAATTACCAATAGTGTTTTTTTCAAAACAACAACACTGAAAATGGCCAGAGTTTTTATTTCGGAACATTGCAAATGATTTTTCAACCAAAATGAAAATGTACATTTAACAAAATTACAGTAATATAAAACCTTCAATCTCCCCCCGAACATTAAGTAAATTCCTTAGCCATTTTCATTTTTAATTTCTCTGAAGAGCTCTCCTACGTATAGGCCATGCACCACTTCAAACATCACTCAAACTCGGTTGGCTTTTATTTGCTCTAATTTCATTATTGTATTCATACAAATAGGTTGCTGTTCACGTGGTCAGTGTGTTTGTTGATTGTTGCACACCACACGCAAGCCCTACCACAAGATGTCCAGTGTACTATCACCGCAGCTGAGCCGACAACTTGCGCCATTACAACACCAATTTATTTGTTACCGGATGCCACGTTGAACATTGTCAATAGCAGTGCATTGGTGAATGTGACTCGCTTTGAATTGCGAGCATTCACCAATTTAATTCGAATTCCGCCGATAATTTGGGCCGTTTTCCCGAAGCTAGAGGAAATCGTGATGGCTAATTATGCATCAGTGAGCAGCATAGCCACAACCGATTTGTTGTACGCTTCAAAGTTGAAGGTGCTCAATTTGAAAGGAAATAAACTATTGACAATTCCATACTCGGCATTTGCGTTGGCCCCAGCACTTGAAATAATAGACCTATCGGCGAATGGTATCACCACAATTGAGGGTATGGCTTTCAATGGTTTGAGCAATTTGAAGCAACTCGATTTGTCGTTCAATCGCTTAGGTATACTTGATGCATTCACATTTTCTGGTTTGACGAATTTGGAGGTGCTCGATTTAAGTCAAAACAAAATCAAGCTCATCGGCGATGGTACATTCAATTTGCCAAAACTTCAAATTTTGAATGTTAATTTCAATGACGTAAAGTTGTTGCCCGATAATTTGTTTGGTGCAATTCCCGGTCAGGCACCGCCATTGACATATGTTGACTTTGGTGACAATAAACTCACCCATATCGGTACATCACTGTACACATTGCAGGAATTAAACTTGCTCAATTTAACAGCCAATAAAAAAATCGACGACATCAATTTGGAAGCTTTGGCTCAACTGCCAAAGCTCGAAACATTGTTGCTTTCAAGCAGCGGATTCCAATTTCCGATCGTTTTCACAACAATCACACCACCCGAAGCAGCCACCAGCTTGCCATTGCCAACATCCAATTCACCGTTGAAAAAACTTTATCTCGCAAAAAATAAACTGATGAACCCGGATGTGCTTCGACAATTGGCCTATTTTCGCCAGTTGGAAGTTCTAAGTTTGGAGGAGAACCGTTTCACTTATATCGACAATATCAAATCACTATCGACATGGTTCCCGAATTTACGCACCATTTTCATTGGTGAAAATAAATTAAACTGTCTTTGGCTCAATGAATCGATTCCGATATTTCAGGCAGCTAATGTAAACGTTTATACCATAAAGAAAACCAAAACTTGGTATGGCACCACCATTTTCGAGCAGAAACTCATTTCTTTGGAGGATTGCTTTGATCTCGAGAAAATTTTCGGAAATATTCTCTTTTTCTTGAATAAATTTGGTGCAGCAATTTAATTGTAATACTGAACGAAATTCAACGTAATAAATGTACTACACAGTAACCGAAATCGGTTAAATATCTTTTCGTTTTATTTATCTTGTATTGTCGACAACAACAACAACAACAACAACAACAACAACAACAACAACAACAACAACAACAACAACAACAACAACAACAACAATAACAACTACAAGAATTGTTTTCCTGTTTCGATTGACTGATCCAATTGAATGGGAAAGCTTAACCATTGGAAATCACAACCTATTCTAAAGATCTTATTCTAGGGTACATCTGCTTTATCATTTCATTTTGTAATTATTATGTATTTGTATACAAGGGAAATTAAAAGTTTTCTCATCTTCTTCGCCGTGACATTCAATGTTACAATGCTGAAACCGGATGAATCGAATGTAAGTATATCATGAGTTTACTTGCAAGCATTTCCACAAGTGCGGTCTTTTGTTTCGCTTTGTTTGGCAAAGTCATCAAAAATACATAGCTCGAACAGTGTATAATTCTGTAGAATCCAGTAATTATGACTGTAAATAATGAACTCCGCCATTGGTACTTTAATTTCTTATCATTTCAGATGTCAACTTCAATAAATGAAAAGCGATATCTGTGAAAAAGTATGGCAAACTGGTAAATAAGATGTAGTGACTTGTTGTAATATTCACGGATACTAGGAACGTTCTCATAAATAAATTCAACGCTGTCTTTTGTACAAACTTGGCATGAAAATTTCCTTATCATCTTTTTGAAACTGTTTGCATCTTTTATTTTAAGGAAAATCTATATTTTTACACAAAATCAGCCTCACTTGCCCTTTACCTTGGTGTAAAATGTCTCGTCAGCGATGTAATCATGTTGCTGCGTTTGTTCACAAATTAGATATTTCGTCCATGCTCATAATGAATTCGTGACTTCATCATGCTCACATTAATATTTAGATTAACTTTATTATTGTTGGCGCTCACAAATCAAATTACAAGGGAGACGTCTCAAACCATTCATCGTCAACATTGATTTGACCAAATTTAAAATCATTGAATTTTTGACCTCAAGTGTAAAGAACAAATGAGTCGAATGCAAATTTGCAATATTTGTCCACATACACATTCGCACTTCTGAATTGTATTTGTCCAAGAATATTTGAGTGGTGATTTCGCTGCACAAGTTTGATTAAATTAGGATGTTGTTTTGTATTCATTATATGATTTACTCTGGTTGTCTTATCATAAGAGACGAGGCTAATTGAAGTGATAGAGGCTGATGCGGCCACATGCAATCTGACAATGCCCTGTCGCAATCAAAAAAGTTGTCACAAATATAGATTCACTGCAAGCGCCTCATAATAAACTGTTACACTCTAAGCGTCGAGTCTCTGACACCCGCGTATTAAAATAATCCAAAAATTCAAAATTTTTATATTTATTATATAGTAACTCATGTATAAATGTCAATATTTCCACGCGTGAATTCAACTTAACATTACTCGACATTGTTATGATATCTCAAATTGGGTCTACGCTCGATTCACGCCAAAACTTATGTGAAACTAATATGCAATTGAGATATTAGATTCGTTGGAAACTCTTCGAAAACCTGGTCTAGACTCAAGACCATATGAACATGGCAAAATACGGCTTTAGACTTTGCCTATCAAATGAAGCGATCCTTGTGCCGAAAGCGAACACAAAACTAGTGAGATAAACTTCAAGAAATCATTTGGGAGCGATTTGAATTGGCTTTTTTCATTCTTCTGACCAACTTCTGCATTGCCCCGTAAAAAGATTTCTTGAATTAGATATCACTAGTTTCGTGTCAGCATGGGGATCGACTTTGGGGATCGACTTTCTTATTTGGGAACACCCATTACGCAACGACCCTGGAAGAGATAATGACACAAAAAATAATGTTAAACTATAAACAATGTTTGCTAATCGAGCCGACACGGTTTCCAAATTTTGGCTACTTTTTCACAAAAATTGGACAAAATGTGCATAAAATATTATTATTATTATTTCTCTTTATTCGGTATTCGACTTTTGGTCTTAGTTTCGACAAAACTACCGTGCAGTGGCAATTTATATAGTAAATTTGATCGCCTGAAAAATATCAACGGCAAGATATTTGTATGAATCATGTATTTTGTTAAAAGTTTGAAGGTCTTTCCATAATTAATGCTCCGAATTGTAAAATCCTGTTATCGACAATGAATAACAAATTATCCCAAGTTTTTGTCCATTTAGTAGAACAGACGTCATGTTTTATCATCAAGTTTTATCAATTCGATTTATTTTCGGGTGCTATATCTCACATCCTTTTATACGCCCAGATAGAACAAGTCTAACATTACTATTTGCACCAAAATGCTACTCGTTCAATTCCCTTCAGTTTCATTTATGAGCTTGTACGCACTCTTACTGAAAAATCAACTTAGTTTTTTGTGTATTGAATATGTAATGATAACTCTGTACTGCTAGGGTGCTTTTATATCTGTAGATAAGGCCATTGATAAGAAGTAAATAAAACACTTTCATTCGCGCTAATTTTAGGTAATGGATAAATATGAAACCAAACCACACTGAAATGAAATCACACAGTTCAAATTGTTCGTAATATCTGGTTGGAATTTTTGTTACTTCAGTCATTTTTTGTTTAAAATATAACAAGTAGTAAAAATGATATTTGATTATAAAATAAAAGAATGCAAGCGCTAGAGGTGTCAACGGATACGGACAAAAATTCGGACATTGGTATCCGTCCGTCCGAAAACCGAAAATAATTTTCGGACGTCCGGTCCGAATGTCCGAATCTTTTTTCGGACGGACGGACGGACAAGAGGTTTTGTCCGAACTTTTTGAAATTTCTCGGACTTCCGAAAATTTATCGGACGTCCGAAATTTTTTTTATTAGGAAAATCAAAGGAAAATTGGGTAAGAATACGCAGCGTATTCTTCTTCAGCGATATTTTTGCATTTTTTGGTTGGAAAACTCTCGGAAAAGCACTACTGTGGGAAATCGGGAAATCGCGGAGAGTTCAAACCAGACAACTTTTTTCCGAGAGTTTTCCAACCAAAAAATGCAAAAATGTCGCTGAAGAAGAATACGCTGCGTATTCTTATCTAATTTTCTTTTGATTTTTTTTAATAAAAAATATTTCGGACGTCCGAAAAATATTCGGACGTCCGTATAGAAGTAAAGTAAAGTAATAAGTAACTTATTACTTATTACTTTCATTTTATTACTGTAATAAGATGGACTTATTACTTATCAAGCATCTTTTTACTTGTATTGCTGTAATAAGATAGACTTATTACTAGTAATAGGTCATCTTATTACAGTAATAAGTAGGTAATAAAGTAATAAGAATTACATTTTTTTGCTTCTATAGACGTCCGAGAAATATTCGGACGTCCGAGAAATTTCAAAAAGTTCGGACAAAACCCCTTGTCCGTCCGAAAAAAAAATTCGGACATTCGAACCGGACGTCCGAACTTTTTTAAAAAAAATAAAATTTTGTCCGTTGACACCTCTAGCAAGCGCAAGACTTGAACAAGCGGACCTACGATCGTAGGCGGGACAGTGTATGAGTTGTACCATGAATTTCATCGAAAAGTGTAAGTCACTTGTTGTTATCATTTATTTTAAAAAATGCGCACTGTATGACGTGTAGCTATTTAAGTGTTGATAGCTTTATAATTGTGCATTACATTTGGTCGAACTAAGCTATTTAAGTGTTGATAGCTTTATAATTGTGCATTACATTTAGTCTATGTCAGAGAGCTGTAATTGTTTAATTGTTGAATCAATTTATTGTTTGATCCAGGTATAATTGCATTATCATTTTGCCTGCTTAGTAGGCATAACGAATCAATTTCATCACATTTTCATCCATCATTTTAGTTTTTATTATTTATTTTTATTTATTATACCTTAGATTTGAAATCATATTGTTCTGCTTTCAACATTAAAATGTGTGATAACAAAGAAATCTCAAATGAAGTGCCTGGTTCATTAAACGAAGGTTCATCATCATCATCATCATCAAATATTACAACGTTGTATGTGGATTGTTTAGAAGAACTCTTTGAATGGTTGTCACACAAAGATCTGTTGGCACTCCGTCAAACATGCAAGCGAATGAAGCAAACTGTCGATTATTACATCCGAACGAATTATCCAGCAGTTGGGAAAATGGAAATTAACGACAATAATGTTAAGCAAATTAAGAAGTTTCACCACAGAGGATCCAATCCCATTGAATTGATTGAAGAAGTAAAAATCTCAACACGAAAATTTGATTTGGATGAGTTCAAAGGACTTTTCAACAATGTCGAACGTATTAAGTTAGTTAACGTTAAAATTGAAGGTGAATTCTACGATTTCTTGAAGTTTTGCGACAAATTAAAATTCCTACAAATAAACATGCATGCTTCTGATGGCATTGTCATTGGCAATGGGAACGAGTGGCTACTTCGACAATATCCGCAACTTGAACATGTTGGATTTAAAGATGGCAGAGAGACGAAACAAACAATTGATGAGCTGAAAACATTCTTTGAGTTGAATCCAAACATCCACAGCTTGACGACTGATTATAGCTTCCTCGGAAGTCATGGAATTTTTCTGGCTCAGTCTAGAATAAAATTCGACCATTTGCATGTGCATGTTGCTGGCATGCTGTTCAATATTGATTTGTTGAAGGAACTTTATCGTTTAGGATTTTATCAACGGATATCTTTATATGGTATCTTAGAAGGTGATGCTGTTGCTAGCTTAGCATCAATACCTGGACTCACGAAAGTTTCAACGTCTTGCTCTTATTTTAAATTCCCTGCAATGCCCGATCTGAAGGAAGTGAGTTTTACACACGGCGTTTATTTGCTACAGCCAATTTTGAAAAATGTCAACAATATTGAAGAGCTTTATGTTGACTGCTGTTGTTTTGACAATATTGTGCCGCTCATTCGTTATTTTCCAAAGCTGAAAGTAATTAGATTCCATGATAATGATGAAGGTGATGAAGGTGACGCATATGACCGATTTGAAGCGACCTGGGGACAATATTTCAATGGAAATATCGTTAAATTATTTGCACTGAACAAACAACGAGAAAAATTGAACAGTGCATGCAAACTCACAATCTATGTTCGTCAAATACTTTTCTTAAAGTATAAATGGGCTAAAACCAAAACAAACTACAGATTGATCGAACTAAAACGAGTCCAAGCACATGACGAGTATATGCCCCAATGTGATTGACTACTAATATTATTACTCAAAGTTTCGGTTTAATTGTTAACCATTTTAAATTTGCATTGCAAGCATATTGCTTACCAGAAGAAAAAAACAAAAAAGACTTCGAACAAAAAAAAGAAAAGGAAAAAAATCAAATCGATTCATTTCATTTTCATGGAATTAAGGGGTTTCTCCAAAATGAGACGGCATGTTTCAGACTCACGTCTATGTATAAGTGGATTAGAAAGCCTGTTGTTTGAGTGTGAAATTTTAAAAAGCTTCAACATAAACATATAGATGAATATTTCTGAATAAATAGTTCGATTAAATAAAAAAAAACGAAATGGTTCTATTTGTTCGAATATAAGTCGATTATATTTAGGGAAATAACTCGGAACTGATAATACATACGTACAACTTGTGTATAATATCTGAATCTATTCATTTTTAGACTGGTAATGCTTTTCGAATTTCAAAGTTCCGATAGATCGAGACACTCCATACGAGGATAAACAGGAGAAGATAAAAACTTAAAATGCATTGAACAATTTCCGTACTTCATTATTTTCCTTTTTAACAGCTGTTTTAGTTTTGGAATACTTCATTCTTTGGACAAATTAACGCCAATTACAAAAAGAGACCTAAAAAACGTCAAAAATTCCCTTGTATAACACTGAACACACTCACTGCTACCTTTAACAAAGTAGAAAATGCTGGAAAATATAAATCCCTTTTCTGTGAAATATCAACATGAATCTCTCCAATACAGTTATTATTACGGCAACTAATGAAAACTGTAATATTCAAATTGATCATAAATATTTTACGGTCCATAAAAAAAGTGTGTCGAGTATTGTATGTGTATGTGTATGTGTATGTGTATGTTAATACCGCATCCATGACATTGTAGAACTTTGTGTGCGAAATTATTATTATTATGTGGCTAATTCAAAACCTCGAAAAATTGTGTTGCTTTCAACGAAAAGTGCACTCAAGAGAACGATTACTGAAGCATACTTCATATATACTATGGAAATCATAGTATTTTCTTGGGAGAACGCACCAAAAGAATTTCTCCACCATTGCTATCCGCATAATACAGCGCAAAGCCATTACCCAGCACATTTGGTCGAAAAGTTGTGATGAATAATAAAATCTGAAGCTAGAAATATTATAAAAATTTATGTGGGGGTAACTATGTGCGGCGCTAAATACGAATAAAAAAATTGGAATATTTTCCTTTGTGTTTTGTTATGACCATCGAAATAGTCAGTCGCCTAGCTTGCTATACATATCCCAACCTTTCTCCTGGATAGCTGCTTTCTTCTGCACATATTTTATGTTCAAATGTGTGAAAAATAATGCAATGCATTAACCATAATGATATTATTCAAATATTTTGACATAAACAAAAATCAAAATGCCAAATAATACAAAAATTTCACGCATTGAAACATAGCAAATACTGTGCATAATCTAGTGCGTAAGTGTTTTTGATTGATATGCGGAATTCAATATTTAATGTATGGAGAGCAGTCTCCAAGTTGAAATTCAAAACAGAAAAATCGTTTTTCCATCTCTCTCCATCATTGTATTTTTTTTATTGAAAAATCAGATTATTCAACAGGATTTTCCAACAATTCTACTAACTGTGAATAATTGGTTTCAATCAAATTAAAATACCAATGTCAATTATTTTCTCTTTTCAATATTTTTTTCTTATTCTGTATAGTTCTGTTCTTTCTTTTTTCCCGTTCTGTTTTCTGTTTATTTTTTTTTTTTGCAAGTTAAATTAACATGAAATTTCTTCTCAACATCAAAAAAAAAAAAAAATAAATGAAAAAAAAACATTTCAATTCTTTGATTCATTTTGATTTGAGTAATGTAAGTCTTGAAACCAGTCAGAACAAAACAAGAAAATTCTCACTCTACGCTCTAGTCTGTTAGAATCTACGAAGAGGTTCATTTAGGTCTAGCTTGTTATTGCATAGCAAACTATAATTAAGGTGTTACATGAAACGTACCACATCACAATGTATGGATGGATTGGATAGATAGCATTCACAGTAAAATACAATTCAGGTCACCAAAAATTGAAAAATTGGCTAAACTTCTATATTAACCCGCAGACGGGCAAGCTAAATCACTTAAAATGTCGGGCAAGGTGGACCAAAGTGGACCCATAGTTTTATGGCTGTAAATTTAAACAAAAAAACGCAATATATCTTTAAAAGTGAGACTGTGCTGGAAGCTAGAAAGATGCATCTTTCAAACGTGCCATATGCCGATAAAATTTTATAAAAACCAACTGAGATATAATACTCTGATTTTTTGTCTAAATTTTGTGGTTTTCAAGTACAATTCGACATATTAAGAGCTAAATTTTGAGTATACACCTCCATAGCTCCACTGATGCTGAACTAATTTTTTTAAAGCATGCCACGTTTGATTGATGCATCTTTCTACTTCCTCACTATATACTACTTTTTATAATACATTGCTTTTTACACAGAAAATATTATCAATTCTGGTAGAGAAATTGGCGGCCGAGTGTACGATCGAACGGTTTGTTCAACCACTTACTCCGGTACAAGCGGTTATTGAACGGATAGCCAGCGGTGGGCGGGTGATTACCCTTTACCGTTTGAACCAACTCTTTCGTTAGTCGCTTCGTTGATCAGGGAAACGGACCATCACACTAATTTTGCGGTTCGAGACTAACAATGAGCTGATTCTCTTTCCAAATCGATCTATTTCATCGAATTCCAATGATGCATTCGGAAGTTATGATATCGATATCACCATAAGTTGAAGAGTTCGGTATATGTGGTGGACGATCCGTCCGTCCGTCCGTCCGTCCGTCCGTCCATTTCCCCGATCAATGAAGTGACTGACGAAAGAGTTATTTCAAACGGTAATCGGTAAACGGTAATGACCCGCCCACCGCTGGCTATCCGTTCAATAACCGCTTGTACTGGAGTAAGTGGTTGAATAAACTGTTAGCCCGTACACTCAGCCGCCAATTATCCGTTTAAAATCCGGAAGCAATTATTTGAACAGGTGCATAGACCATTCGCTCGCCCGCTCACCCGTTGTTTATCCGCTGTGTAACCGCTAGCTGAAATCGAAACGGGCGGGCGGCAAACGGCAGCGGTGCCAAATATATATGGTTCCAGATGTCATCTTTTTTTTAGGCATGTCATATCATATCATCTTTGCACAAAAGTCATCTTTTTTCTCAAAACGTCATATTTTTTCAAAAAAAATTCATCGAAATGTCATCTATTTGAAGATGCGATCGAAAAATAACTACATTTTTCTGAAAATTACTTATTTTATAGCTTTTAGATAAGTTTTTCACATAATTATGTGAAAATTATATTTTCTACCATAACATTGTGAAGTTACTTTTATTGTCGTATTTTTTGCTATTTTATCTTGTTTTTTTATGAAATTCAGAGAGAGAGAATTTCTTCATTTCTCAGAATGTCGAATGATACCAGAAACAATTACTGGTCTTTCTACCATATCAACGAAATACATATAGATGAATTTACAGTATTGACGGTTGAATGTGCTCCAATAACACCTATTGCTCATAACAAATGTTCTCAGTTTTGACCAGCACCACAATTATCGTAATTGGCCATTTCAAAATCAGAATTGAATGTATTATAATAATTCACTGAAAACTAATGCATATGCACCATGCAATTACTATTCCCCTTTTAAAATTAAAAGAAAAAATATTAACGTTTCCTAAGAAAAAAAATGATAAAGATGACAATCATCTTTTTTGAAAATTTCATCATCTTTTCCTCCTCTCCAAGATGAAAATCATCTTTTTCGCAGATTTGATCTGAAACCATTACAAATATACCATCTGCCGTTTACTTGACCGTTTACCCGCCCGCTCACCCGCTGTTGTCCGTTGTGCGACCGCTTGATAAAATCAGAACGGGCGGATGGCAAAAGGGTGAGGTATATGTGCGAGCGGGTTACCCGCTAGTTTGCCCGCTCGCCCGGGGAGTTATGTCATCGAGCTATTTTCTGATGTTCATCCAATTTTATTGGTATATTGCGCATTGGAAAGATTCATCTTTCTAGTTTTCGGAATAATACTACTTTCGATGATATATTATGTATTCCTAATTTCACAGCCATAAAGTCATGGGTCCATTTTGGACCCATTTGCCCGCTTGTATCCAGCAAATATATTTAGCTCCACGAAGCGCCATCTAATGAGCGATGTTCAAACGAATGAGGCAATTGCATCAACTGATGGATTTTTTTTGAGAGAAAAGGAATTGGAAGGAGGCAATGGAGATCAAATGGACGCCAATGCTACGCATCCAAATGAGCTAGATGCTGCGAGTTTACTCTCAGAGGTAATGAATTGTGAATAAATAATTGTCTTACACTCATCAAATTCTAAACCAAAAAATCTCTCGTAGGTAATGATATACCATAAAAAATGGCTCGGAGATCTGGTGGTTGATTGACATTAAGCATCTACCATATTCACGTCATTCAAATAATTCAATTCAAATCAAAATAATATATAGTAACAATTTGTTGCTTTCGCTATGCCTGAATCTTGTGGCTAGTAGAGTACTCGAACGTACATTAAGCCGGGGAGTATGATATTTGGGGAACAGTGATACATTATATACTAGGAGCCAGTGTCATTTCATGATGTTTCAAATAAATATTTTATATGTTTATTTTCATACAAACATTTTTTTTCGTATGCAAAAAACCCCGTTGCATGTTGAAATGTTAATACGCAATCATCAAAATGTATCGTCCAATTTCAATTATTTTTCAGCTGTGATCACAATCTTTTTCGTACAAATATATTCAAAACGTTAATATTACATGCATTTTCAGTTGGTCCCAAAGTTGTGGTAATAAAGCTTCATATTTCATTCTATTTTCTTTTTGGCATGTTATCAGCAAAAACTCGACAAAATTACGTATTCAACGACGGAAAAATGATGCAAAATTCTTACTAGTTCAAACATCAATTCTAAATACATTTAAATCAATATCTCTATTTTCGTTTAAACAAATTTCGATCATTTCCCTTAAATCGGTTCACGCTCACATAGGCATTGACATGATGGGATTTAGAAAACGACTAAAGCGTTAACAATTCATTGGAGGAAGGGACAATAGAACACATTTTCCCATGGGGATAGATTCGACAGCTATTGCTGGCGAAATAATAATTACGATTTGAAAAAATATCAAAAAAATAGT